GTGCAACGGAAGTTTATTTTGTACACTCTACAAAAGTGAGACGAACTTTTAATGTTTTTCTTTTAAAGCAAATCGATGAATAGCACACTGTGGAGCATCTCCATCATTTTGATGTAGAGAGATCATTACGGGAGATCTTCAAAGAGGTTAGAGGTTAAGTTAAAGACCCAAAACAATTATAGACAGAAACCCAACAATCCACTGGTCTCCAGTGAGCGAGCATTCGGCGACAGCGGGGACATAAAGAGTAAACAGGAGGAATCTGCAGATCAAGGTCTTTGCAGATAAGATGTTTGAACCTTTCACCACAGTAAAGCATCAGTTGTTCGTTACAACATTCAGGTTTCCCGTTTTTTCTCTCGAAACATCGTCACTTCCTCGCAATGAGTGTGAGGAATTTGATGAGAGATAAGGCAGCAGTAGAGATATGTTAGATGTTAGAAACTTCCAGATAAACACAGTAAGTAAACAAAAGGGTGGAAAAAGCAAGGATGACTGGGATGTGGGATAACAACAACAAAAAAAAGAAAACGAAGAAGGAATAAAATCAGAAAACCAAATGAAGGGTGAAGATGAAGATGAGGAGGGTTGAGGGGAGTGTGAGGGAGGATGGGAGAAGGATGAAAAGGACAAGGAAGTGGGGGGGGAGGAGGAGGAGGCAGAAAAAAAAGATAGTGGGGTAAATAAAAAAATAAAGAAAAAAAACACACAGAAAGAGAAAATGAAGGAGAGAGGACCACGAGGGAGACAAAGACCTACTTGTCTCAAGTCACTGAAGGCCAGAAGCAACGTGTCACCCTGGAAGCCTGCGACCGGGCCGGCTCTGGCAAAACCTGTGGGAAAATACAAGCCCGCCACCCCCAGTCCACCCCCGGAGAGAGGGAAGAGAGGAGGAGGAGGAAAAAAAAATAAGAGGGTGAAAAACAGAATAATAAAAGACCTGGTCGGATTTGCTATGCATCGGGATAGATTGGCAGACAAATGACAGCCTGGGGAGGAGGGGGGAGGAGGGAGGAGAGGAAAGGGGAGGGCAGGGTGTTAGAGTCATGTCGCTAGGTCTTGCTGAAAAAGAGTGTGTGTGCGTGCCTGTGAAAGTGTGTGTGTTTGGGGTGATGCAGACTTGGTGAAAGTGAAGGAGATAATGTCAGAGTTTTAAGGCTAGCGCGCGCATTGCTTGTACAGGGCTTAGCTGTTCGATTTTGAACCCAGACGTGAGGCCTGTGTGTGCGCGTCAGGGTCGTACGGAGTGTGAACTAGGGTCTTGGCGTCAGTTGGCTCAGTAAACAAGCCGAAGCGAGGGAACGAGAGGAGAGGAAAGAGGAGCGCCGTGGTGTAGAGAGGGAGCCAGAGCCAGCCTGTAGCTAATCTCTTTTACCTCAGGACACACACAGAAGCACAAGGCCATACACACTACAGCACTGATTACACGCCCGCCGTCTTCACTGACCCCAGAGACACACACACACACGTCCTGCACATAAACTTTGAAGCCATCGCCTAAGCTAACCTTTTAAACGATTCTTCCACCCAAACTCGGTTCAACTTTCTCTTAATTTCTCCCTCTGCCGTCACTTAACAGGCACTGGTCTTGGCAGCAGCAACAGACCTATTACCACTCGCTCCCTTTTGAATATTTCAAATTAGTGACAAATCAAACCTGCTCTCTATCGCTCTTCAAGGGAAACGAAACAGGAAACCCATCACACCGGCTGTTCCTCCAGGCTTAGTGTTAGCAGACAGCAGTGCTTTGGGTACGTGGAGGCGCAGCCACTCGAGCAAAGCTTTCGCGACTTAAAAAGCCGGCCACAGCCCTGTTTCACACCACCTGTTCAACGTTTTCCTGCCCAATGCCGCTACACTTTATACAATCAGAGTAGCACGTTGGCTTGTTTTGTGCATTCAAACTTCCACACATCTTTTAACTTGCAATCATTGCTGCCAATGGACACGGGTAACATCTCTTTCACTACTAGTGATAACTGGCATGCAGTGCCAGTCAGGTCATTTGAACCGCCTCAACAAACCCTTTAGGGCACAGCTGTTGAACTCCAGGCCTCGAGGGCCGGTGTCCTGCAGGTTTTATTTGTGTCCTTGATCCAACACAGCTGATTTAAATGGTTAAATTAGCTCCTCAACATGTCTTGAAGTTCTCCAGAGGCTGGTAATGAAGTAATCATTTGACTCAGGTGTGTTGACCCAGGGTAATATCTAAAACCTGCAGGACACCGGCCCTCGAGGCCTGGAGTTCGACACCCCTGCTTTAGGGTCTGCTCAAGTCCAAGTGACATAAATTTCATCATCAGATGATGAGCACTAGTGTCCTTGTGGACATTCGCATGCCTACCTGTATTACAGGGCACCAGTTATCCATGCACTCCTGGATATCTCCTCAAGCGGACTTAAAGGAAGTACAATCTACGCCTAAGGTGGTGCACTTCCACAAGAGAGGGGAGTCACTGTACAGCCAACCATCCATCCAGACCTCCACCCTAAGGTGTTTTCTTGTGTCTCAGTGGCTTCCCTGCTCTTTGTTGTTGGGTTCAAGATATGGTCAGATTCTTGAAAATCCCTGATTCTTTTTGTGGTTTTCTTTTAGCGAGTAGATCCTGGAGGTTATAATACATTTATGTTCATCTCAAACATACATTTTAAATACCTGCTTTGAACACGTATCACCTTCTACCTTTGATTCTAACTCCCACGCTTCATTTGTTTCCTCCTTTCATCTCTGGATGTATTTCCCTGTAATATTTATATCTTGTCTTCATGTCTTCGCTCCCTTCTTCACCTTTGAACACGTCAAAGCTACAGCATCATTTGTAGTGCAAAAAAATGACTTAGTTCTTTAACCTAGGTGCCGTGGCTTGTGCGCTTTACAAAAATGACTGGCCCTCTACATGTCCATGCGCAAACTGGAAACGAACTAAGGCAGCTTGGCGATGGCTTTCGAGAAACTGACTCTTTCCTAACTTGTTCATTTTGTATTTTTCACCCAGCATATACAAGATAATGGGAAAGCACAAGCCTGCATCCTCCGCGACGCCGTTCCCAAAGCCAGATAAGTGGGGATGGTCGCTTCACTAAGGCCAAATCAAAAACGTGGCTCATAAATCAGGTTTCCATCCTGGATAGTTTTGAGGTCAGGATTACAGATGCCCCGTTTTTCATCCTCGACTTTAATGTTTTTCATTTTATTCTCACTTTATCCATCTCCATGCTCTGCTTCTTTCTCTTAAGCCCCATCCACACATAAAGCAATTCACTCGACGGGATTCACTTTGTAGCTGCCAGCTGGTGGCTGCTGTGGATAAACTCCGGACGCTAGTTTCCCACCCTGTCACACGTCCATCTACAGTACCCGTCCCTCCCATTGGCTTAGCTTCAGGGTAGAAATTAGTTTAACCAGTGTCCGTCCACTCTGTGGCAGCGACAGTCACTGACGGCCTCTGGTCAACGGCCGGGTTTGAATGCTTGCTGCCCGCTGTGCCATGCTCGTAGCTTCACACTCTCATCCTCAACTCTTTTTCCTTCTCTCCATCAATGCTCCTCTGCTTCTCTCAGAATCCAACATCTCCTCCCTTTTCCTCCCCACACTCCCCTGGTGATCGCATTCATTCATCTGTACCTTCCTTTTTCTCTTTATCCCTCGCCATCCTGAAATTCCTCCCTTTATTCAAACTCTAATCCCTCTTTCTTGTGCTCTCTTCCTTCACTTCCTCCTTTTTTTTTATTTAAACCTCACTGTTAATTTTCATTTAATCCCTCCTCTCATCCATGCTTTCTGCTCTTCCCTCTGTCCGTCTCATGTGCCCCCCTTCTGATTTTCATTTGATTAATTTCACAGCTCTTCCATTTAATCCCATTATCTTTATTCACCTGTCCCTCACCCGAAATCTGTTCTGTCCTTTAATTTTACCCACTCATTATTCCACTCATTATTCCACTTTTTGCTTAAAGTTTTCTTCTTGTTGCTCTTGAACATTTAACACTTTTGTTAGTCATATTGCTGTTTTCACCGCACTCATGCAGTGACTTTTAAAAAATGCTTACATTACATTAAGTGTATTTATTTAAACACAATAAAGATCCTTATTTGCCCCCATTTCTTCCACTCAAACTGTCCATGCATCTTAAACTTCTCATTTCATCCCCCTTTCCCGTTCCTCTTCTTCCTTTTTTAGTACTTTCTCCTAATATTTAACCCCCTTTCCCATTATTATAAGGCATTATTCTGTCTTGCATTTCCACTTAAATTTTTAACTCATCTTCCACTTTCCTTTTCTTCCATCCATCTACTGTACCATCAGCTCCACTTTTTTCCCAGTTTGACTCCCACCCCTCCCAATCCATTCTGAAAAACTAACTCTGTAACCTGCTAACCCCTCCGCAGCACTGCATGCATGTCACTGCACATCACATCACCCACACGCTCTCAGTGACTCTAAGAACCTTGATCATGTAAAAACCGAGCCAGCGACGCGTCTCGCTCTTTCATTCCCTGCCCGCCTTTATCTGCAAGCTCTGCATCTTTGTGGCTCCGAACCAAGGAGAAGGAGGAGGGACAGGAAAGAAAGAAATGAGGAAGAGAGGGGGAGAGCCAGGAGGATGATGGGAAGGAGAGAGGAGGCTGGAGACTAGGAGAGTAAGGAGACATTCGAGGAAAAAAAGATGGAAGAGCAAGAAAAATTAAGGATTTTTAGAGAAGGGAGTATCGAAGATGCTTTCCCTCAACCATGCAATTGGTTGTTCCATAGCGCCCCCTGTGCTCTCAGATGCAAAGTGCAAACATGGCCTACTTCCAGCTCATTTCATAAAAGCGGTCTCGTGTGATTAATGTCTTTGTGCGACTCCAAGACTTTTAATTCAAAGAAAAATGCATTTCATGTTAAGGAGATGTGCCTCCTCACTTTCATTTGGGTTAAAAAGTACATGTGTGCACGTGTGAGTGTGTGAATGAAAAACAAAGTGGAACAAAGAAAAAATGAAAGAGAAAGAAGAAACTGACAAAGAGAACGCACAGAGGTGAAGAAAACAGTAATCTGACAAAACATTTCTCTTCTTAATTCGTGTGTCAACATAAATCAAATGTCCAACCATAAACTTTGTAAAGTTTGCAGAAAAGTAACAAACGATGATTCTGAAGGAAAAAAACAAAAAGACACAAAACCTTTTCACATATTTCTGTAAAAAAAAAAAAAATGCTTCAACACAAAAACCCACTAATGAAATGCCCAAACATTTGCACTGCGACACTCACTCTCGCACTCCTTCACGTCGGTGTCGAGCTGGTGCAGAGCGCCCATGGAGATCTGTCGGACCTCCGGGTCAAGCAGGAGCTGCATGAGGGACGTGGAGATGTGCTTACAGGACGACATGCACGCAGTCTGCGCTACTTTACCCTGAGAAAGAGCGAGAAGACACAAGGAAAGAAGAAAGGAGTGAAGTGAGGATGCTGCATTTTCTTCTCTTGATTTCTAAACAGAAATGTAAAATGTGTCGTTTTTCACTGCTAGACTGAGCTCTCATATCTCATAACCAAGTGACTGGATGTGCATCAGAGGTTAATGAGGGTGATCTCTGCCTGTGCAGCTACAAAATGTGCCCAAAACTAAACACAACTCAAAATTTCAGCTTGTTTAGTATCAGTTTGATCCCAGTTTTGTACAGCAGGTGAAACACGCATTTTATTTGTGACTGTATGCAAAAACAGAACTAAGGAAGCTGTGATCCACACCGATGCATGGACGTTAACAGACGTATGCACAGTTCAGGTGCTCTTTGTCAGAGGAATTTTTTTAACATACACCCACACACAGCGACGACAAAGACGTGTGCTGCATTCAGGTGCAGTCAGAATGATGAAGTGGCATAATAAAAGAATAAAGGCAGGGGATAAGGAAGTGCATGACAAAACATTTATATAGAAACAACTTTGACTGGGTTCGATTTTCTGATTGTGTACATATATGTGTGTGTGTGTGTGTGTGTGGTCTCAGTGACAAGCTGTGGCCTCGTGTTTGACCTCTAAAGAAGTGGTAAAGGGTTTTTAAAAAAAATAAGGTTATGTGAAAGAGCAAAAGTTCAGTGGGAACCGAGAAAGAAAAGGGGAAATCTAGAGCTTGAGAAGATGATTAGTTTTCTTGTGATCTTTAAATAAACAATTTGTATGATTTAATTCCTCTTTCCTGAGTACCATCAACATAGTTTTGACGAGATGTTGCTTTGAGAGAACTACTGAGAAAAAAAAGGGGAAATCAAGTCTATTAAAAGATCATCTTAACCTTGTAAACTCTGAGTGAAACGCCGAGCAGAGGAAGTTTCCCTGAAAGGCCTGATTACACATATTAATCCTGACGTGACTTTGATGTGTCCGGCTGACACCAACGCACTTTAGGGGTGATTAATAAGAAACGCGGGACCTTTCATTTCAAGCCCTGCATATTTAATTACCTTCATTAATCACACAGTGAAGCTAAACACACATGTATACATGCAGCATGTGCAAATACACACACACACAACATTTATATTTGTGTGAAGCATGAAGGTGCTGGTGTGAACCTAGTGTTTATACAGCTCTAATCACACATGTGACTCTGTTTCCTTGTGTCGTTTGCAAATATTCATACACAGCGAATAAATTGTTGATATCGTCCTGCGATTGTTAGCGTGCATTCGATGTCAAATTAATTGAATTTTAGTCGTTTTAGCTCTTTGCGCTCCGTTTAAGGCAGACTGCAAGTCTTTTCATCTGATACTCCCACTTTCTTTATATGCTGATTAATTCAGAGTAAATTCTCATAGAAGCCATACCATGAAATAAAAAGAAGCAAAGCTCAGGACATTTACCCCCTGACCTCCCTGAACACATAAAGCATTATGCTAAAACATAAGGAATCACAGCTAGCAGATAGACGATGGTATCAAAACCTACTTTGACCAGCCGGCAATCACACTGTGACCCAAAACACACAGCAAGTTTTCCCCACTGAATTCTCAGAAACCAGATGAAACATCAGGGCACCAATTCCTGTTTCTATTCCTCTACGCGCCGTAAACTGTTAACCGTGACCGATACATCAGCGGGGGCCGTTAGCAGCCACATGCTGATAAATCTGTATCTGCATTTATAACGGCTCAATTTGTTCCTCCGCTCGTTACCAATACAGATATTTGGTGATTTAAAAATCCCATGTTCCAATATACAGGGAGTGCAGAATTATTAGGCAAGTTGTATTTTTGAGGAATAATTTTATTATTGAACAACAACCATGTTCTCAATGAACCCAAAAAACTCATTAATATCAAAGCTGAATGTTTTTGGAAGTAGTTTTTAGTTTGTTTTTAGTTTTGAGCTATTTTAGGGGGATATCTGTGTGTGCAGGTGACTATTACTGTGCATAATTATTAGGCAACTTAACAAAAAACAAATATATACCCATTTCAATTATTTATTTTTACCAGTGAAACCAATATAACATCTCCACATTCACAAATATACATTTCTGACATTCAAAAACAAAACAAAAACAAATCAGCGACCAATATAGCCACCTTTCTTTGCAAGGACACTCAAAAGCCTGCCATCCATGGATTCTGTCAGTGTTTTGATCTGTTCACCATCAACATTGCGTGCAGCAGCAACCACAGCCTCCCAGACACTGTTCAGAGAGGTGTACTGTTTTCCCTCCTTGTAAATCTCACATTTGATGATGGACCACAGGTTCTCAATGGGGTTCAGATCAGGTGAACAAGGAGGCCATGTCATTAGTTTTTCTTCTTTTATACCCTTTCTTGCCAGCCACGCTGTGGAGTACTTGGACGCGTGTGATGGAGCTTGACTCCATCCTCAACCCGAAAAGGCCCCACAAGCTCATCTTTGATGATACCAGCCCAAACCAGTACTCCACCTCCACCTTGCTGGCGTCTGAGTCGGACTGGAGCTCTCTGCCCTTTACCAATCCAGCCACGGGCCCATCCATCTGGCCCATCAAGACTCACTCTCATTTCATCAGTCCATAAAACCTTAGAAAAATCAGTCTTGAGATATTTCTTGGCCCAGTCTTGACGTTTCAGCTTGTGTGTCTTGTTCAGTGGTGGTCGTCTTTCAGCCTTTCTTACCTTGGCCATGTCTCTGAGTATTGCACACCTTGTGCTTTTGGGCACTCCAGTGATGTTGCAGCTCTGAAATATGGCCAAACTGGTGGCAAGTGGCATCTTGGCAGCTGCACGCTTGACTTTTCTCAGTTCATGGGCAGTTATTTTGCGCCTTGGTTTTTCCACACGCTTCTTGCGACCCTGTTGACTATTTTGAATGAAACGCTTGATTGTTCGATGATCACGCTTCAGAAGCTTTGCAATTTTGAGACTGCTGCATCCCTCTGCAAGATATCTCACTATTTTTGACTTTTCTGAGCCTGTCAAGTCCTTCTTTTGACCCATTTTGCCAAAGGAAAGGACGTTGCCTAATAATTATGCACACCTGATATAGGGTGTTGATGTCATTAGACCACACCCCTTCTCATTACAGAGATGCACATCACCTAATATGCTTAATTGGTAGTAGGCTTTCGAGCCTATACAGCTTGGAGTAAGACAACATGCATGAAGAGGATGATGTGGACAAAATACTCATTTGCCTAATAATTCTGCACTCCCTGTATAGGCTATTGGATAGTGGTTCATGGAGAAAAAACCCTTTTCTTTTCTCCGACGTTGAAAACAGGAGACACTCACTTTTTAGCTAGTGCTCGTCTTGTGTTCAATTCCCATCAAGTGGCTTTTGTTTCCTGCAGCGAGGGTAATCACAGAACCAGTTAACCTAACCAGCATGTCTTTGCACCCTGATGCAAACATGAAAACTTGATTCAGAAAGACTCAAATTCAAACACAGGACCCTCTTGCTGTGAGGGGACAGTGCTAACCACCACTGTGCGAATGCTCTCATTAGTATATATTAAAAAAAAAAAAAAAACAGAAGCATAAACACATTTCTAATCATAACTTTAAAATCAGCGTTGTTTTTCTGCACACTGTCCAAGCAATCTGGCGTCTAGACTGGGATGGAAACCTGCAGCGAATGTCCAAGCATTAATGAATGTACGAAACAAGCAGCACAGCACATTCATTATCCTTTCAATTGATCCCCTAGTAAAAATCCTGAGTAATGGCTGAGCTCCCAGACTTTTCCTATGGCTGAAAATACCCTCCCACCGATTCCCAAATACATCCAGGAAATGTGAAATTAAGGAAAAACAAAATAGAACATTAAAAGACACATTAGTTAAAATTATTGGCTGTCATTAAGCACCGATTTAATCAAGACATTTTTATTTTAATGACACACTTTAATACCATTTCCTCTGTTTTCCAGGCAGCAACTCAACTCACTGCCGCTGTAATAAAACGGTTTCCCCTCAGAGATCCATAAAATTCATCTTATCTTATATAACAAACCCGACAGCAGCAAGAAAGAGAAAAGAAAAAAAAAAGATCTAATTGTAGCAGCGCATGAACTGAGATCCAAGTCAGGAAAGAGTCTGGAGAGCCTTCACCTCACAGGGAAAATCAAATTATACACAAGGCACACACGTGCAAGCACATATGTTTGAGAAACACACACCTACGACTGGCCGGATATCCTCCAATATGACGCTGACCTCTGAACTCTGCGTGCACACAAACACAGAGATACAGTGTTCGCACAACCTCGGGGGTCAATTATCATCGGGTGAGACCGAGCGTGAAATGAGCTAATTCTATTTACATGTCCTAAGCAAGGAATATCTGACACACACACACACACACACACACACACACACACACACACACACGTAGGTCTTTCTGACAAAAATGGCATCGCCTTGGACTTCAGTACAGACAACTGGGAACGATTAGCCTGAGGCACAGTGGAGAAGAGGAAGGAGAGGAAAGTATAAGATGGGAAAGGAAAGGGGGTGAAAAGAAAAGGTGAGGGTAAGGGTGGAAGGTTGGGATTAAAAAAAATAAAAGCAGTGACAATTGAAGGGAAATGTGGGAAAAGGAATGGAAAAGAAAGAAAGGATGAGGAAAGGTAAGGAATGACTAGGAAAGAAAAGATAAAGGCAGGAAAGAGAAGATGAGCACAGGTGACAAGGTAACAAAGGGGGAAGGAAAATGTTAAAAAGAAAAGGGTGGGAACAAAAACAGAAGAAAAACAAAAGAAAAGCTGCTGAAAAGTGACAAAAGGAAGAAGTAAGAAAGGGTGATGAAAAAAGAAGGAAAATAAGAGGAAAGAGAAAAACAAGAACAGGTGAGCTGGGGAAAGGAGGAAAGGAACCATTAGGACAGCTGGAAGATGTAAATTTAAATAGATGTGATCAAAGGAAGAATGAAAAGGAGTACTGGTGAGGAAGGAAGA